TGGGTGCCCCCCTCCCTTTTTCCCCCCCCCCCCCCCCACACAGTTGGGGAAGCCCAGGGCGCCAAAGCCCTCGATGACTGTGTCTACATCAGTGAGGCGGATGACTCTGTGGAGCAGCACTCTATTGATGGCCTTGACCGCCTGCAGAGGGACACACAAAACTCCTTCCCCGCCACTGCTCCGCACCCCCTCCCCAGGAGCAACACCCCCTGCAATCCTGGCCACCACGGGTAGTCCGTAGTGCAGCTGGGACATAACAAACCCTCCCAGGGAGGGGACTTTTCCCTGGGGCAACCCACCCCCTCCTTACACCCACAGCAGCGCCAGGCTGCTCAGTTTGGCCCCCACATGGGCAATGTCAGATGACTTTTCTAGTTATTAATAAAAGACAATTTAGAACTTGTAAATACACCAGTTGGGCTTGTGGTCCCTCATGTGCCTCCAAAGCTGGTAATGCTCACCTGGCTAATCTCACTTCTATAGTTGTGTGATATCACAGATCTCGAACCCAGGCCTGGGCATCCCTAGACAGTTGCTTCCACCCAATGTCTACTGAAGGTCAATGTGCTGAGAAAGTACTAAGGGTCCGACTATCACCCCACCCAACGCACCACCCACAGACACTCAGACTAGAGGATCACCCGGCTCCATCAATCCATCCAGCTATGCTATTTAAGCCAGTAGGAGGAACAGGAAGTTTGTGTGAGTGACAAAGTGGTTTCCTGTTATAATGGTACCGTACCCTGCTAGTGCCTGCCTTCTGCAACCAAGCCTGTTCTTGATTCTGGCTTGTCTCCTGCCTCACCCGTTTTTGCTCCTGTTGCAACCATGCTCCTGCTTTATACTTCGTCTTTGCCTCTTCTCCTGCCCTTACTTCTCACCTCCAATCCTCAGTGACTAGTCCCGGCACTGAGCCGGGCCTTCATCTTATGACTCCGGCTTGACCCTTGGCAGCTAACATCAGCTCTGGTCCTCAACTTCCATTCTTGATTCTGACTCCAGCTTGACCTCCGGCTCTGGTAACTGGCAGTTGACTCTGGTGCTGACCCTCAGCTTTGTTCCACAACTGGGATCCTGCTTCACCCTCTAGACCTTGCTGCTGCTCTGACTACTGGGCCGGACACCTACATCCTGCTCCATAACAATTTGTTTAGGAGGCTGAACTTTTAACTCAGGTGACTGGTTTTATATGAGCTCACAATCAACAATCAACATCTCAACCCAGAAATTAGCCTACAATGCTCTGCTAAGGGGAAAAGGTCTCCCAGGAATCCTGGGAAGAGCATGCCTGCAAGTGGGAATGCCTCTCTAGCCAAAACTTCTCTCCTTGAGCTTGTGAAGCAAATGGGATCCGAACAGCCCAGGGCTGGACTAAGCCTTCCTATTAGTCCAGGCCCAACAAGATCCCTTTTAAAACTGAATCAAAATACTTCTTTATTCATGCTGTGCATGGCCTTCTCCATTTCACAGTGCTCCTGTAAACAAAAACGATGCTCAGTTGAGCAGAACCAAGGGCTTTATAAGCAGTAACATCTGAACTCTAGCTAACACCCATCCTGGGTGAAGAGTATATTGGCACTGTCTCCTGCCTGCCATCTCCCCCAAGTATTCTCACTGACCTACAGGGGCACGGAATTCTTCAGGTTAACCACACACGGCATCACAATTTATTTTCCTTTATCAAGAGCAGCTTTCTGCCTGGAGGTGAGATCTGTGTTTACCTCTCAGGAGCTCTGCTAGGCTGTGTCTAGACTGGCATGATTTTGCGCAAAATCTTGCCACTTGTCTGCACTGGCCGTGAGTATTTGCGCAAGAACACTGACTTTGTAATGTACAAAATCAGTGGTTCTTGTGCAAATACTCTGACGCTCTCGCTCAGGGATAAGCCCTCTTGCGCAAGTATTCTTGCACAAGAGGGCCAGTGTAGACAGGCAACATTAATTTCTTGCGCAAGAAAGCCTGATGGCTAAAATGGCCATTGGAGCTTTCTTGTGCAAGAGAACGTCTACACTTGCACGGATGCTTTTGCACAAAAGCAAATCTTTTGTGCAAAGGCGCATGCCAGTATAGACGCTCTCTTGCGCAAATACCTTTAAAGGAAAAAATTTTCCGTTAAAAGTATTTGCGCAAAATCATGCCAGTCTAGACGCAGCCCTAGTGTTTTCTAATGCTGGAGGAGCAAGTTCCTCTTCAGAGAGCATGGGATTTCTCCCCTTCTTTGTGTGCTTTCCAATGCAGACCCAGAGGCATGGAAGATGCTAGTTAGGAGTTTCTTGCTTTATTCTTACTCCCCTTGAATGAACTCATACCATCTTGGAATCGTGGCATTCCAGCCACCTCTTCCTTTTAAAGGGGCTGTCCTCATACAGAGGTTTCTCTCTCTTCTGGTTGGTCATGCAGCAGAATAGCCTCCTCAGTGAGAACAGGACGCTTGTCACAGCCAGATTCTCAGAGACTTGCTTCACTTGCTGGATAGAGACAGAAGCAACACTGCAGACTGAGGGCTCAGGGTCAAGCAGCGAATCACTGAGAGCTGAAAAAAGGAGCAGGTCAGACTCTGACCTGTGATCACCCGTAAAAATACACAAATACACAGAGACCATGAACTTAGGTACACACATACGCTGTCCGTGTGATCAGAAACAGCTGTGCCACACTAGAGGAATACAGTATCAATGTGCACATTTAATGTAAGGTCATAAGAACAGCCAGACTGGGTCAGGCCAAGGCCAGAGGGAATGAATAGACAGAACAGGGGATCATCCAGTGATCCATCCCCTGTCATCCATTGCCAGCCTCTGACAGTTTGTTACCCAAACATCCAGAACACGTCTTTGTTAAAACCACACCCTGAAATAGTCCTGCACAGTCACATAACCGGTTATATGTGCACACCCAGGCATATTCATTTGCTTGGTTTAAAGGCCAGGATCCTCACTTACCTCTGAGCAGTGAGACTATATCTCCTTGACTCATGCGGCTGCCATCCATGTGATGGACAATGAACCCTAGAGAAATGGTTCACGTAATTAGCCTCTAACTTCTCCTTACAACCTCTAATGGGAACGTCTACTGTTTAGGCCTATCCCCAAATTAAGGTGCTTTCACGACATCTAGCAGATCATTAGAGTTGCTCAGAAGCTCCTAGGAGACCAACCTCTGGAGCATGCCCGAAGGGTTGATTTGCAAAGCAAAGTATATCTACTAGAAGTAGGCAACTGGGGACACCCTGGCCAATAGCTGGTCAAATTAAAAAATGATTTTTCCTTCTCTTGCATTGGTGAATGTCAGAGGATCTCATTCTGTGATCACTCACATTTTGCTAGGGGAAAAACTATCAGAAAGCAAACTGTGGCTCAAATAATGGCCACAAATGACTTTCCATTTGTATCCTAGGGTATGTCTACACTACCACCCTAGTTCGAACTAGGGTGGTAGTGTAGACATACCCTAGGATACAAATGGAAAGTCATTTGTGGCCATTATTTGAGCCACAGTTTGCTTTCTGATAGTTTTTCCCCTAGCAAAATGTGAGTGATCACAGAATGAGATCCTCTGACATTCACCAATGCAAGAGAAGGAAAAATCATTTTTTAATTTGACCAGCTATTGGCCAGGGTGTCCCCAGTTGCCTACTTCTAGTAGATATACTTTGCTTTGCAAATCAACCCTTCGGGCATGCTCCAGAGGTTGGTCTCCTAGGAGCTTCTGAGCAACTCTAATGATCTGCTAGATGTCGTGAAAGCACCTTAATTTGGGGATAGGCCTAAACAACTTCTTGAATTCTTTCATTGGCCTATCTACCGCCTCCAAGGCAGGTGGATTACCTATGCCAGTGGGAGAGCCCTCCCATGATCGGTATAGGCCCTGTCTCTTCTGACATTCTACAGTGAACTAGTTTCGCCTCTGTAGCATTTATGCGTTGATATGCCAAAAGTTCCAGTTGTGTTCATTTGGTAAATTATAGCCTGAATAGTATATATATTCAATTGTAACAGAGTTTGCACAATCAGTCACCCCACAATTAGTGGTTAAAGCTGTTTGTACAGACACTGGAGAATCTCACAATGTGGTCAACAAGCAAAAGAGCAAAATGTACCTAGCTGTGAATTATTAACTCAGCTCTAGTGTTTGCACTGCTCTAGAGCCATTAGAGGAGTAGTGTAATGTGGGGGTTAGAGGGATTCTGATGAGAGCATGGGGCATTAAAGGGCTATAATTTGTTTCCTGTACATACCCCATCCGAGAGTCAGGGAAGTTCAGAAAAAGGCTTTGATAGAACTTGCTTGCAAAGGTAAAATATGTGGTTTGGGATTTTTTTCACCTGTGAACATACTGGCTGCCCTCCTCACAGGAGCCTGCTCACTCTTCAGATAGTGCCGGCTCTGGGACAGGAATTCATGGACTCTCCCTGAGCACCGCCGAACCTAAGGAGGAACGAACATACCCCTCTGATTATCCAAGAGAGTTTGGCAGGAAGTAGAAGAAAGAGAAATACTGTATCTGGATCCACAAGGGGAGGAAGACATAAGAGAAGACACAGAAAACTGGATCCTAGTGGATGTGATCTACCTTGACTTTAGCAAAGCTTTTGATACGCTCTCCCACAGCATTCTTGCCAGCAAGTTAAGGATGCATGGATTGGATAAATGGGCTGTAAGGTGGATAGAAAGCTGGCTAGATTGTCAGGCCCAATGGGTAGCGATCAATGGCTTGATGTCTGGTTAGCAGTCAGTTTCAAGCAGAGTGCCCCAAGGATCTGTTCTAGGGCCGGCTTTGTTCAACGTCTTTATTAATGACCTGGATGAGGGGATGGGTTGCACCCTCAGCAAGTTTGCAGATGACACTAATCTAGGGGGAGAGGTAAATACATTGGAGGGCAGAGATCGGGTCCCGAGTGACCTAGACAGATTAGAGGATTGGGCCAAAAGAAATCTGATCAGGTTCAACAAGGACAAGTTCAGAGTCCTGCACTTGGGACAGAAGAATTCCAGGCATTATTACAGGCTGGGGACCGACTGGCTAAGTAGAAGTTGAGCAGAAAAGGACCTGGGGATTACAGTGGGTAAGAAGCTGGAGATGAGTCAACAGGGTGCCCTTGCAGCCAAGAAGGCTAATGGCATATTAGGGTGCATTAGAAGGAGCATTTCCAACACATCTAGAGAAGTGATTATCCCCTTTATTCGGCACTAGTGAGGCCACATCTGGAGTATTGCGTCCAATTCTTGGGCCCTAACTACAGAAAGGGTGTGGATGCATTGGAGAGGGACAAGTGGACGGCAACCAAAATGATGAGGGAGCTGGAGCACATGACCTATGAGGAGAGGCTGAGGGATTTGGGCTCGTTTAGTCTGCAGAAGAGAAGAGCGAGGGGGGATTGATAGCAGCCTTCAGCTTCCTGAAGGGAGGTTCCAAAGAGGATGGAGAGAGGCTGTTCGCAGTAGTGACAGATGGCAGAACAAGGAGCAATGGTCTCAAGTTACAGTGGGGGAGGTTTAGGTTGGATATTAGGAAAAACTATTTTCCTAGGAGGTGGTGGAATCTCCATCCGTAGAAGTTTTTAAGTCCCAGCTTGACAAAGCCCTGGCTGGGTTGATATAGTTGAGGTTGGTCCTGCTTTGGGCAGGGGGCCAGACTCGATGACTCCTGAGGTCTCTTCCAGCCTTAGGATTCTATGACTCCAGTAGGCTAACAGACTGATCAGACTTTAGTGCCAGCCAGCTAGAAGCAGACACGTGTCCCAAAGGCAGCAGTGGAAGATCTCTCAGCTGAGCTATTTAAAACTAGTGTGGGTGGCCAGAGCCCTTCCTCCCTTGTCAGGAGAAGGGGGTGGGTTCTGTTTCTAATGTCTGGGATTCTGCTGCGAGCAATTGCTACCAGGGAGCTTTCCAACAGAGAAAAGCACCACTGCCACCCTCTGAAAGGCCTGCGTGCTCCAAGGCCTTCTGCGCGGTGCAGAGCCTGTCTTTCTGTTCCCATGGCACTGACCCCGGCGCCCCTCCCTCTGCCTGTGCCTATGCACGTTGCTCAACGTGTCTCTTCTAGGCAAGGATTCAAAGCTTTCCCGTGACGGTTCGCCAAGGTGATCTCAGGTGGCGGCAGCAGGGCGCAGGCAGGAGGGTCTCTCAGCCTGCCAAGTGAGATCTCAGGGGAGATGCAAGTCGTTTTAAATATGGTGCCACGTGTTAGATAACGTGTCCCCTGCCGCCAACTCACCCAGTTCTAAAGAACAGCCCAGTGTTCACTTACCAGGTGCCTGCAAACATTGCACAGGGCCTGCTGATTGTCATAATGGGCCATGGTGAATATCTCCTCCAGCAATTTCCATCCCATGAAGTCATTACATCGTGCCAAAGTCCACTCGCAGCTCTGCATGGGAAAGGGGAGAGAGGGCAATCAGGAAGGAGGCTCTTGATACTGTCTAGTAGCTGCTGAAAGTTAATAAAGACAATTTACCCTAAGTCAGAGAGGGGAGGAAAGGGTTAATGGCCTCCTCCTGGGGCCATGTAGTGTCTCTGTTCCTATCCCACTGCGAGAGTCAGGGCCTGAGGGCCCTACAGTCTTTGGTTGACAGCTGTTTGCAGATGCATTCATGCAAGTGAGGTGCGTAGGCTATAATTTACCTATAGGGGGGGATAGTTCAGTGGTTTGCCCATTGGCCTCATAAACCCAGTAGTGTGAGCCCAATTCCTAAGGGGCCCATTTAGGGATCAGGGGCAAATCTGCCAGGGATGGTAGTTGGTCCATCCACAAAGGTAGATTCAATGACTTCTCAAGGTCCCTTCCAGCCCTATGAGATAGGGTTTATAGGGTATGTCTATGTTGCATTCTTCCTTTGAAAGAGGAATACAGACAATTGCAAATGAAGTGTGGATTTGATTTTCCTGCACTTCATTTGCATAATTGCAGCCAGCCGCTTTTCCAAAATACCATATTTATTTCGAGAAAAAAAACAGTCCACACAGGGTTATTTAAAAAATAAACCCTTCCTTCAAAATACCCGTAAACCTCATTTTAAAAGGAGTAAGGGTTATTTCAAAGGAAGGTATCAGAAGGGTAGCTGTGTTAGTCTGAATCTGCAAAAGCGGCGAAGCACCTTATAGGCTAACTGAAGTGTTGGAGAATAAGCTTTCGTGGGCAAAGACCCACAACATGCATCTGACGAAGACTCCTCACCGCCTTTTCAAAGGAAGGGTTTCTTTTCAAAATAACCCCATTTTTTTTTCAAAATACAGTATTTCAGAAAAGCAGCCAGCCACAATTATGCAAATTAAGCATGGAAAATGCAAATCCACAGTTCATTTGCAATTTCATTTGTCTGCGTTTGCATTGCTCTCTTGAAGGAGGAATGCAATGTAGACATACCCATAGAGTTTTGCAGTTGCAGACGGATGCACAAGCATGTTTTGAGAGGTGCAGTTGTAGATGTCACCCAGCAATGTGGCCTTAATGTCCCTGGCTTCCTGCTAATGGCTCCTGACTGGAACTGATTCGTCAAATGGGCTAAAAGGATACAAGCAGTGGCCAAGAAGCGCAACATTTTTACCTTTGACTATGTCTACGCAGCAGCATTATTTCAGAATAACTGGCATTATTCCGAAATAACAAAGAGCGCATCTACGCAGCAAGCCGTTATTTCGAAGTAATGGCAAGCTGGAGGACTTCCTACTCCAACTCCTGTAACCCTCATTTCATATAAGGAGTAAGGGAAGCCGAAGGAAGAGTGTTTTCCTTTGGCTTCCTGCTGTGTAGACATCGCCAAAAGCCGAATTAAGCTACATCGACATCAGCTACGTAGTTGCGTAGCTTAATTCGACTTTTGCCCGCAGTGTAGACGTGCCCTTTGGGTCATGTGAATAGGAATAGGGTGTAAAGCAGAAAAGATTGTGCTTTGGGAAATGGATCTAGAGAGGAATCTGGAAGAAAGGCCCATCAACTGTCATTTCTTAGGCTAGAAGAAATGATGCTCAGTCTTACCTCGGCCACCTTCTGGTCCTGCTCGTACAGATGGAGCAGCAAGGGCACAAAGCTGCCAAGGACTTGCTCCTGCATGGTGGATTTAGACTTTAGGTTCAGACCACTTAAGAGGTTTCCAAAGAGGCCAATGGCAGAGGAGCGCACCTTGTCTCTGTCCTGCGAGGAATACACAAAGAAAGGTTTAATGGAAACTGCAAACTCAGGCCTTGTCTACACTATACAGCGTTTAGCGACTCAGCCATGTCAACACTTTTGTTGGCAAAGTGCTGAAGAAACTTCTACCCCCATGAGCAGCATTTGCTTTGGTGTCCGGAAAGCACTATTTCCAGCAGCCCTTGCCATGGCAAAGCTTTTGTCGTTCAATGGGTGGGGGCTTTACTTCCTTGCACAAGGACCAGTGTAGACAAATCCTCAGACTGAGGCATTATCACTGTGCACAGCCTGCCTATGGAGAAAGAAGTGTTCTTTGTCCAATAGGGTGGCTTGTAGAAATGGCAATTCCTTCACACTACACCTTTATATGTGGATGATGAAGGTTCTCTGCTTTAACTGTCAGGTGTCTTTATACAAGAAGCGCACACCCTGCTAACACCATGTCATTGGAACGCAATGGCAGCGTCTGTGCTGTGCCCTGCTCAAGTGTTGGAGACTTGTGCAGTGGCACAGAAGGTCTGGGGGTCTAACTCAGCAGTTACTTTCGTTGCTGTTGCCTCTGGGGAGCTAATATCTGCGTCCCCAGATTACAGCGTGTGTGAATCACAACCCTACAACTCAATCTCAACTTCATATGCACTAGAGACAGACATATTTAGGCAGAACGGTGGGTTTCAACAGCTCACAATCTTTCCCCTGATGCCTACATGGCCTATTTTCTATACAAGATCACAACTGAATACACATGAGAAATATGGGAGTTTCAGGCCATTCCCCCAGGAGAGTAAGTATCACATCCCTGTTGTCCGGGGAGACCCTGTCTGGGGAGCCATATGTCTGATGGAGACTACAGCCTATAAACTGGCTGATGTCTGGATTTGCCGAGCATTCATTGCCATCTGTAATGAGGGAGGCCTGCTTTGCTGTGAGGAAAGGATGAGCTCAGAGAGCAGTGTCAGTTCTGTGGTGTTGTGAGCTGCAGATCACGGCTGTAGCAGAGACTATCCCTTTGACTAATAGAGGACATCAGAATCTGCCCTACAAATGACTTATTTACAGGCTTTTCTGTGGGGTTGCTCACTAGTTGTGAGCCCCTCACAAGCAATAATGAACAAGCAGAGCCGGGCTTAGGGGCAGGCAAGCCGGGCGGTTGCCCGGGGCCGCCATTTTCAAGGGGCCGCCAACAGAGCCAGTCTTAGGGGTGGGCTGTGACCGCATTTCATCCCAAAATCCTTCCCCCAGGTTTCCCTGGGTTTTTTTGTTTGTTTGTTTTTGTTTTTTCTTGACAAATTTTTCCCGGCAGTTTTTTTTGTTTGCTTGTTTTTTGCTTGACAAATTTTTGTCCGGCATTTTTTTTAAACCATCTGGCAACCCGTACATTTGGGACCCGTGCTGTTCAATATCTTCATCAATGATGTAGATATTGGGATAGAGAGTACGCTTATTAAGTTTACAGATGATACCAAACTGGGTGGGGTTGCAACTTCTTTGGAGGATAGGGACATAATTCAAAATGACCTTAGCAAGTTAGAGAAATGGTCAGAGGTAAACAGGATGAGGTTTAATAAAGAGAAATGCAAAGTGCTCCACTTAGGAAGGAACAATCAGTTCCATACATACAAGATGGGAAGTGACTGTCTAGGAAGGAGCATGGCGGAAAGGGATCTAGGGGTCATAGTGGACCACAAGTTGAATATGAGTCAACAGTGTGATGCTGTTGCAAAAAAAGCAAATATGATTCTAGGTTGTATCAACAGGTGTGTTGTAAGCAAAACTCGTGAAGTCATTCTGCCGCTCTACTCTGCAATAGTTAGGCCTCAGCTGGAGTACTGTGTCCAGGTCTGGGCGCCACATTTCAAGAAAGATGTGGAGAAATGGGAAAGGGTACAGAGAAGAGCGACAAGAATGATTAAAGTTCTAGAGAACATGACCTATGAAGCAAGGCTTCATGAATTGTGTTTGTTTAGTTTGGAAAAAAGAAGATTAAGGGGGGACATGATAGCGGTTTTCAAATATCTAAAAGGGTGTCACAAGGAGGAAGGAGAAAATGTGTTCCTCTTGGTTTCTGAGGACAGGACAAGGAGTAATGGGCTTAAAGTGCAGCAGGGGAGGTTTAGATTGGACATTAGGAAAAAATTCCTAACTGTCAGGGTGGTCAAATATTGGAATAAATTGCCAAGGGAAGTGGTGGAATCTCCCTCTCTGGAGATATTTAAGAACAGATTAGATAGACATCTGTCAGGGATGGTGTAGACGGAGCTTGGTCCTGCCTTGAGGGCGGGGGGCTGGACTCGATGACCTCTTGAGGTCCCTTCCAGTCCTATTATTCTATGATTCTATAACCCTATGGGCGAGCCAGGTGGTTGCCCTGGGCTGCCAATTGGTTAGGACTGGCCCTGTGAATAAGGCCTCGCAGTACCCTGGGAGGTGAGGGAATATCAGTGACCCCATTTTACAGATGGGTAACTGACTAGATATTGCTCTATTGAGCTTGGCTGTGACTGGACATGCACTTTACCCATCTGCACTGCTACTTAATACAAGCCCAGCAGGATTCACTGAATGAAACCTCTGCTCAGGATAGGGGAAAGCAGGAGGACCCCAGCATGGAAAGGTCCTCTCCCCACAGGGGTACTTCTTTTCCCTGGAAGCACTAACTAGCTCCTCCTCCACACACAAAGGAGCCACTGTTTTCCTGTTGCCTTACATCATCCAGGAAGGGCCGAAGCGTCTTGGCAATCTGCACGCTGATGGAGCCGATGTTCACCCTGCCCTTGTGGTGCCTGAGCACACTTCCCAGAGCGGCGATGGTCTCCCCAACAAGCCTCTCGTGTGTCTCGTTCAACCCCCCCAGCAGGGCGGGAAGGAGAGCCTGGAGCTGTTTCGCCTGCAGAAAAGAAACTCATCAGCAGAGATGAAATGCTGCCCCGTGCCAGGTAGTCAGTGCACAACGTCACCAGCTGACTGAAGAGAGGGAGCTCAGAGCACGACTCTCCCAGGGTTCAGAGACTCACTTTCTTTCAGCTGGGCGCAGGACAGCGTTCCCGCTAAGCACCCCCCAACAGAATGAATTGTGTTATGTACAGGTGTATGGAGGTGATGTGCGACACCTCGCCTTCACATTGGTGCACAACAATTCATGTAGTGGAGGGGCCAGGGGTTCATAGTGTGGGAGGGGACTCAGGCATGGGGCAGAGGGTTGGGGTGCAGGAGTATGAGGACTCTGGGATGGAGCCAAGAATGAGGGGCTTAGGATTGGAGTGCAAGGGGTTAAGGTTTCTGGCTGGGGTACCAGCTATGGGGTGGGGCTGGGCTTAGGAATGGTTTAGAGTGAAGGAGGGTGCTTCAGGGCTATTGCAAGGAGAGAGGATACCCCCAGTTCTCTCTCCTCACAGCAGCACCTAGGTGGGCAGGGAACAGTATGCCTCCCCACCATGGCAGCTCCAGGGCTGGGCCGCCCACACTGTGCCAAGCTTAAGGCCAGGGCCAGGCCGCCCCAGGATCAGGATTGGGCATCCCAGGCTGCTCCAGGATCAGGGTCAGGCTGCGACCAGGCCACCTCGGCCATGGCAGAGGTGGGGTCGGGCTGCACGGGCAGCTCCGGCTACGGAAGGATCAGGGCCGGGGCTGGGGCAAGGCTACCCTGGCAGAATCAGGGCCATCCAACGGTTCTGTTTTACTACCACAGACCTAGGGTTTGCTTTGGTGCCGTCAGCACCTGCTACACATTTCAGCTGTGTTCGCTACAGGCTTGTTTTGGTATCGCTGGAGTCGGTTTTATACCTGAAAATAATGATAATTCACCATTCGTTGACCATTGTCACCTCTGTGCCTAAGGCAGCGTGGTCTTCTAGATAATAGGCCTGGAGCAAGTCAGGATTCCTGGGTTCTGGTTTGAGCTGCCCAACTGTCTTGCTTGGGCAAATCCCTTACGTGCGTTTTCAAAAGTAGCCTCCAGTTTTGGGGGCCTAGTTGCAGGCGTGTAAGGCCTGATATTCCGAGGTGCTGCGTGTCTGCAGCTTCCACAGAACATTCCCCTTGCTGTTACCTTCTGTGGGTGAAGTGCCATGTTTCCAAGCCCGTGCAGACTCAGCCAGCGGACAGTGGGTCTCGGATCCGTCCGCCACTCTTCCAGCCTACCCAGAATACTTCGTTTTGGCAATAGCTTGGTCACGGATTGGCTACGGAGAAGCTAAAATCAGAGCAGTGAGTCCATTACAAGCAGAAAACAGAGCTGTGTTCTTTGGATGGATGTCAGAGGCAACATTCCCTGCATTCTGCTATAAATTCTCCTAGAAGTTGTAGAGTTTAAGGCCAGAAGACACCACCCGATTATCTCATTGGCTCTTATATCACAACCCACCAACACCTGCCCACTGAAACGTTAGACGAAGGAATACAGCTCCCAGCCCACTCCTGTGTGAAAACAGTTCACTCCTCGCCCACACGTCATGAGGTGTGAATAGCCCTTTCTCAGAACTGTCCCCCACAAGTGGGATTGATCTGCAAGTTAAAAATAAAAATCCAGTGAAGTACCAATGGATGTCAGGGGTTTAGATGAAGGGCCACTGGACTCAGGCAGCCCCAAAGACCTGGGGAAAGACAAGTTACCGCATTAGTGAGGGAGCCCCGAGAAAAATTCCCTTGGTGACCTCATTCTCTCTCTAATTCCCTGATGGTTTAACCCATCCAAAACTAGTGCTTCTGTATCCAGAAATAGGATCTCTGTGATAGGACAGCTGCCCCTCACTGGCAAAAGTGGGGTTAAAATCAGCCCTAGGGAGGCTGTGACAGAGAGAGGCGTCCATATGCTCTCTAGCTGACGGGTGCTTGATCTTCCTCTCCACATTGCCCCATTCCACCCCTTTCGTCAAACCCCCCACCCCACTTCTTTCCACCCCTGCTCTGCTTCCACCCACCCCTTTCCCCAAACCCCTGCTGCACCCCACCTCACCCTGCCTCAGCTCCACCTCCACCCCACCTCATTCCACCCTTTTCCCCAAGTCCCCGTCCCCATGCCCCCTCCCGCAAGCTCGCCACATCCCTGCTCCTTCCCCCTGCCTCCCGGAGCATCCCAAATGTCACAAACCAACTGTTTTGCAGTAGGCGGGAGGCGCTGGGAGGGAGGAGGAGAATTTGGGGGGGAGAGCTCGGCTTCCTGGAATTTTTCCCCGTGGCACAGAGTCAGCGCCTATGACGCTAGAGAGAGCCAACTGAAAGAGTCTGAGAGGAGCAGCCAGTCATGGCCCCGCAGGCTCATCTGAGAAGGGCTGCAGGGCAGCGCAGAGCTCAGAAGGGAGAAGACCAGGCTCTTAGCAGGGGAAGGGACGCCAGCCCTTTGGACAGAGCAATGCTGTAAGCAAGGATTGGGGGAGCTAGAGAGAGCACCTGCCTGGCTTCTAGGGCCTGCAGACGGAGGGTAAGTGCAGTTGCCACTGAGAGAGTGGCTGGACGGAGATTGCAGGTCTCCGGAAAGAGGAAACACCAAAGCGTGGCACAGTCAGAGGGCAGTGCCCTAAAGAGGACGCCGCCGCAGTCCTTGGAGTGACGTGGGTCCTAGAAGGAAAATGACGGTGCTGAGGCATCGCCCGAGGAGGGCGCCCTGGCGAGTTAAGCTAATTCCTTTGACAGCCAGGCCAGCAGGCCCACCCCGTCCCAATCTCTCATCATGCCTCTCCCACCATAATCAGATAAGAGGACAGGCAAGTTGCTGATGCAAAGTCCCCATTCAACAGTGACCTACTGACGTCTGGAAATAAACCCTCTCCCGAAGCCTAGCCAGGCATGTCGACTAACACGTCTTACCCCCGTGAAGAAAGCCACGGCTGTCAAAGTTTTCTCTTCATCCTCCGTACGGAGATTTGGGATGGAATTGGCAAGAAGCCCAGAGAGATGGTGGCTTGCATGGGTGACCATGGCTCTGTGATATAAATCAGACACTCATTACTGGCGGAATATACAGCCACGAAGCAGTCTGCAACAGATGGCAGCCTGATCATGAATCAGCACTGCCCAGGGTAACCAGAGGAACTTGAAGCTTTTGTTGCCTACCTAGCCAAGAGAAGGACCCCTTCCAGGTAACCCTCAGCACTTGAGAGAAGGTCCCAGCCTCCCACTTTCTCCATCCACGGCAACACTATTTCGTTCCTATCTCGGATCAGCATAGCCTTCAGCGCGTCTACTGCACAGCTGCATTGAAAACAAGACTAGGATTACAGAAATAGAGCAATCCCTCTCGGTTCCTGTATATAGACACCGGGTTATGTCTACACTACAAAATTAGTTTGAACTAACAGACGTTAGTTTGAACTAACTTTCATAGGCGCTACACTAGCACTCCGTTAGTTTGAATTTAATTCAAACTAACAGAGCGCTTAGTTCGAACTAGGTAATCCTCATTCCACGAGGATTAAGCCTAGTTCGAACTTACTAGTTCGAATTAAGGGGTGTGTAGCCCCTTAATTCGAACTAGTGGGAGGCTAGCCCTCCCCAGGTTTCCCTGGTGGCCACTCTGGCCAACACCAGGGAATCTCTATGCCCCCCTCCCGGCCCCGGACCACTTAAAGGGGCACGTGCTGGCTACGGTGCCCGTGCCAGGTGCAAGCCTGCCAGCACCCAGCTAGCAGACCCTGCACCTGTGATGCCACCTAGCCCTCCCCCTCTTCCTGGGACTGACACCCCATGAGTCAGCCACCTGATGCCACCTAGCCCTCCCCCTCTTCCTGGGACCAGCCTGGCGGCTCCCAGGAGCCTGCCCGAGGCCACAAGAGGCGGGTGCCCGCGTGGTCTAGTGCAGAGATCGTGGACCTCATGGAGGTTTGGGGGGAAGCCTCCAATGTCCACGATCTCTGCACTAGGCATAGGGATGGGGCCATCTTCATGCGC